CGTTGACAGGCCTAATTATAATCAAAATAAATAAGGTTGAAGTTATTTTTCTAACCAAATACAACTAATTTAGGTACTTTGTCATAGTGCATATTTTTCTCTATTTTATCAATAAAACATACACAGTACTACACAATTTTCTCTTCAAAATTCAGCAGATTCAACGAATTTAGCAACTTTAATTAGAACTTCATCAATTTCAACCATTTCAACTAATTTTGCTAATTTTAATCAATTACAAGCAAAAGAGCTCTACAAGTTACACATATAGTGTTTTTTAGTCCAATCATGTGTCCCGTCCCTGGATTTTAATTGTCCTAAGAAAATAACCATTCTCTTATTTAAGTAAACTAGTAAATCACCCGTGCGATGCACGGTCGGTGAATTTCTAACCAACTTTTTTCTTCCTTCATAATTTTTTCAACACCATCGGCCAAAAAATATTTAATTTAATAATACAAACAACACTTTGGAGCACACTTACCAAGTACACAATTCAAGATTAAGGAAATATTAAACATAGAAAGATAATAACTGAACCGAAATAATTCTGCAAAGATCAACACCCAAATGTTAAAAACTGAATTCAATGCAACGCTAGACGTTATTGAAAACTTTTTTAGAAACCACATTTTAAGTGGCATCAGTCGTCATGTCACACTCATTGCATATAAGTATTTTCAATGCAACGCTAAACGTTTATTGAAAACTTCTTTATAAACCCCAAAAAATAATACCTTGAGAAAAAGTCACAAACATAAAGGAAATGATAACCAAAAATCTATAAATCAGTACTTTGAAAGGAATTAAAAGTGTAATACTTTGCATGAATATAAGCAGTGCTAGGTCCGGAACGAACGTCACGCCCAGAACACGTCACGCCCAGAACACGTCATACGCGTCATGCATTAACAGTAAGTTTTTTTCAAATCTTTAAACGGAGTTTGAATTAATTTGGAACACGCGACATTAAATGTCAGTATAACACAAAAGGAGTTCCGGGAAAAAACGAAAACACGACCAAAAATCAGTCCTTAAATAAAAACATAAGTGTCTTATTCTATAACCAAAGCGAAGCAACGGATACCTACTATAAACCACAATAACAACATGTTATAAGAGAAAAATATGTTAATTATTGAATATACAAAGATAGTCATTGCCAACACAAAAAATGAAAAAAAAATGGATAAATATTTTAAAGGCTAAAAAAATTAATGCATTTGAAATAAATTTTGGAAAAAACCAAACACTTAACTCGGTTCAAATCCAAAAGAACGAAGGCCAATTTATTTCCGCAGCAAAACCCATAAAAACAAAACACCAGCGGCCCAAACAACCCAAAAATCAAAGCCCAATAACCCAACCCTTATCCTCGTTGAACAGGTCAACCCCACCCCAAACCCTCCTGAAAAGATCAGAAAAGATCCGACACTCAGAGCTACTCCATCTCTAACGAACACAGCAGATCGGAAAAGATACCCAACGCCCCATCGCAAACCACCATCAGAAGTCGGAAATAACACCCCAGCCTGAAGAAAAAACGTTGGATCCTCAACCTCCGAACCTAACTCCACAGCACAGACCACTTCTCCACCATACAGAGACGACACTCTGCCCTCGATCCCTAACGACTATGATTAGGAGAGGTCAAGAGCGCTGCGGCGAAGACCCCATATGACACCGGCTGTTACCAACGGGAATGATCTACGACGTTAAGCAATAGGCTTCACAGGTAACTTTTCTCATCCCAAATCACACCAAAACTCAAACCTTACCCCCGACCCTTTACATGCACGAACACAACACAACTCCTGAACACCAACCTTATTTAACCACAAACAACACGAACATATATTTTTTACCCAAAAAACTAAACAAACCTTCTGATCTATCATTTTTTCTTCTCATTCGGTGGTCAGAGACAAACCCCCAACTTACAAATGGTTTTGAATTGAAAAAATTGTATTTTGTAAGAATGAAAACCGAAAAAATATAGTCCAAAACACATCAAGGATTAAACACATAGATCTGCAAGATCCGAAAGTCTGTTTATTTTTCCACCATGATTTAAACATTAACAGACCCAAAAAAAACTACCCAATATTTTTGCGGAAACATTAATCAAGCATTTTTTAACAAACATAGTAAATTTTTTCATCATACCAGTTTTCCAGATTAATTTTCACATGTATCCCACTTAAAATTTATTAATTAGCTTTGATAAAATATTAAAATTTTAATAATAATCTCCAAAAACATACTCATATTTCTATTTTTTGTAAAAAAAAAATTCGTTATTAATACATATACACCCACCCCATACACATCATTTAATTCCAACCACACACCACCCGCTACTACCATTTAATATTCTTGAACCACTCAAACGCTACCCACTCCTCAAGTCTTTAACACAACGGACCTCCCACTCCCAACTCAAATGCTTCGATTAAATCGACCGGTCACAAATTCTCTTTCTTTATAAAAAATCACAACTTCAAGTTCAATCGTTTAATACCCCAACCTACAACAATAATCACAACTTCAAATTCAATGTATTTTATGATACCATGATATTATTTGTTCATGAATTACAGAGTCAGTTGTATCAAAGATTTTTAATATCAAGTGTATTTATTTTAAAAAAAATAGTTTATTTATCAGAACCGAAATTATTTTAATGGTTTTTAAATTATTTATAATTTTGTTATTCAACCCTTTTAAATCAAAGAAGTCCAAAATTGCCAAATGATGTTGTGCATTTATAAGATAAACCTTACCAAATCATTTACAATGTGTTTACATAGTAGGCAGGATTTATTATCTATTATAATAATATGATGCTATCAATAGCACCGAAAGGGCACAAAAGCTTGTATTATCATTAATTAAAAACATTATAAGAATTGCCAAGGTTAAACGAATTGCCCTGGACATGCCAGCCAATCAGGGGGGTGGTATGTGGTGGAGTTTTATCTGGATAGTTTATTGTGTATCCATCTTACGAACTGCCACGGTAAAACGAATTGCCCTGGACATGCCAGCCAATCAGGGGGGTGGTATGTGGTGGAGTTTTATCTGGATAGTTTATTGTGTATCCATCTTACGAACTGCCATGGTAAAACGAATTGCCCTGGACATGCCAGCCAATCAGGGGGGTGGTATGTGGTGGAGTTTTATCTGGACAGTTTATTGTGTACAGGGTTGTTAACATTTTTTCCTAATATTGGTAAGAAATATTCTCCCACCAAATTGCTTGAAATCAAAACAGGTTTTATTTTTAAGCATTTCAGATTGCTGCCAAATTTTTATACATGTTTTACCTTAGGCTATTCACCCCAAGTCTGCGCTACTCATAAATCTCTTCCATAAAAATATTGGCATTTCAGAGTTCAGACGACTTATAACAAAGGTTTACATGTAAAATTTGTAGGGATCTTCAAGAATTATTAATGTTTGGTTCTGAAGACGACCTATAACATGTCAACCCCCTCCCCCCTTGTAATAAATTTAAGCATTTAATTTAACAGATTGAATCGACTCAATCAATTTCTATACGACTAAACAGGATATTCAATTTGATCCAATTGTTCACCCCAATTTTGTTTTATAAAAAATACTCCGTAGAAGTGAGATGTTAATTCACCCTCTCGAACGCATGATCGTATTTGGGACTGAAAAAAATTTATATAAAAAACAGATATTTTATTTTAAAAAATAGGAGTGCGCTACAAAAAAATCCAAACCTAAAGGCATAGAATTAAAAAAAAGGAAGTAACGATCAAAGCTTGAAATAATTCCCAGCGACCCAGCTATGCAATCCTTGTGGTGGCCCAATCAATGACTCCAAAAGAATGCGGCCCTGGCTTAATCCAAACATAATGCCTCCACAAAATACGTGCCGGTCAAATTTACGGTTACGATTCTTCCACAGCTTCGAGAGAGAGAGATCGGCGAAGTGCGACATTCGCTACCCGGTGTCTCTGAAGAGAGATGACCCTTTCTTATCATCAACGTAAGCCTTTCTAGCGCTAGGAGGCAGTTCAGTTGCAGAGAAGAAAATCGGGATGGCGGATGGTGATCCGAGTCCCCTCTGAGCAAGAAAGTGGGGAACATGGTTGGCCTCGCAAGGATGGTGATCAATGTTGATAGAGTTTTCGTGCTGGAGTTCATTGATATTGTTGATAGAATGTTGGCATGGTAAGTTATGCCACTGGTATAACATTTCATCTTCACACTTCTTTGCATGCTTAATTCGGTCATTAAGAAAGTTAAGTTGAAAAAATCTAATAAGATTGATAAGCGAAACACCCCTATTTGTGAATAACACTCTTCTCCTGTAAAAACGCTTAAAACCAAACTTTGTGTTTATTTTAGTTAAGTACTTTTAAACGATCCATTTGTAAACCTTCAAAGTACTGTAAAACACGCTTTTATTGATTTTATTAGTTTCTCTTAAAATTCCTCCTTTCCAATTGGTCTCTTTACTTCAAAATATGTCTCTTTAGTCATGTATCCTCCAGCTTGATACATTTGATCAACAAAATTAAGTTTTGATTTTAAGTATGTACGTTACGTATTCATGTGAGTATATAATTTCGAATTACTACTTATATTTGTCACTCATGCAGATTTGTTATGCATTTTACACATACGTCGGCTATGCAAGTTTAAATCTTGTGAACTTAGTATCATATAAGATCATATATATTATAAATAAGTTAAATTAGTCATTTGAAATATTTTTCTGTAATTCCTGTAAGTTGAAGTTAAGTAAGTGTCAATTTTTTTTTGCAGATGCCATTGAAGGTCTTTTATGCAATGTTTTAATAGATGCTTGAAAATATATACTCCTATTTGGAATGCTGCAATATGGGTATACACTTCTTAATGTGATTATTTGAAATAAATTCAGTGTTTAAGTTGAAGTTGCTAAACTCTACCTAATCTAACTAACCTCACTAACACTCACTAACTTTTGTAAAATAAAACACTAATTATGTTTCAAAAAGTGAATCTGCACTCATAAACTGAATTATTTGTTTTTTTCCCCAGTATTTTGCTTTCAATCCTTGTAGAATTAGAAACAAATAATATGATCATTCTGGAAAATGAAAACAAAGAATTACATAGTTGTACCATTCCTAAGTTGTATGTCTTGACATCAATGAGTTCAAGACAGAAAATTTCTGGTTGGTTTGCATGAGCTGCAAATCATCAATAGGGCATACCATGCAAGACCCATTGGTTGTTGCATAGATGCTTGCTTCTTTGTAAAATCAAAGAACTTATTGTAGGGCTATGATTTTTGTTCTTTTGCTTATACTTCTAGAGTTGCATGCCCATTAGCTTTTCTCCATTTGTGAGTTAGTTTCCTGTCAGTGTAAACACACACAGAGATTCATTACATAGGTTGTGATCCAAAACCGGCTGGTGTATTTGTTTACTATGCACAAAACATACCAATCAACCAAAAGAATCAAAGCAAGATATTGTCATTTAAAAATCTTATGCCATCAAAAGAATTAGACAAAAAAAATAGTGATAAAGACATAAAGGATATGGAGATAGATATATCTAAGGACATACATATAATATACTTCGTATACGTATGTATATATATGATTTATATATTTTAAGAACATAAATGCAAGAATAAAAAGCAATAAGATGGCCCGAACAATAAACCCAACCCAGCACAGCAAGGTCTAGTTCTTGCTTTTTCTCCCTATTTTTGCTCTTTCTTATGTTGTTTGTTCTTCTAAAGTTGGATGTCCATTTGGTCTTCTCCCTTGACTATATATATATATATATATATATATATATATATATATATATATATATATATATATATATATATATATATATATATATATATATGATATTATTCTTGCGCATTGTAGGCTCAAAATTTAAAAGAAATGGAAGAAGCCCAAGATTGGGGTGTTCATTTGATATGAGGATGCAAGTATATATAGCTAAAAAACAATGCCCTTGCCTTCAGCAGTGTCCTGCGTCCCTAAGAAGTTTCACATGCCCCAATGAATTGGCTGGCCAAAATTGATGGGCTGTACTTTTTTACTATTTCTACTCCCTCCGTCCCTAATCTTTCTCCCATTTCGGCTGGGCACATTTATTAAAATAGTGAGATTTGTGTGGTGGAGAGTTGTGCAGAGGAGAGAGAAATGTGTAAGAATGTGTAAGAATGGTTGTGAACCATAAATTCTATGCTAAAAGGGGAAAAAGGAGATAATTTTAGGACGGACGAAAAAGGAAAGTTTGGAGATAATTCAGGAACGGAGGGAGTATTTGTTTTGCTAGCTATGAATTGTGGTGATTGAGCATTAATGTTGCTCTATTTATAACCGCAGAGCTATGCTCGGCCATCCAAACCCAAACACAGTGCCCAAATCGTTCAACCAATAGCAAAGGTTTTTGGATTGGGGGAACACTGTTCAACAAAATTTGAATTTTAAAGTTTGGAAAAATATTGTCCAAAATATCTGCCCCAGAGAGTTGTCATCCGTATGAGCCCACTTGTGTGTACTGTTTACCTAAAAAGGGCCAATCAAACTGTAGACATGTAGCCGGGGAAATCTCGAAAAAATCCACTGAGCTGCTCTCCATCTCATCCCAAATAAATTGACCAATGAAAAATCAATTACCCTGTTACCAAATATCTAACAAAATCTGAACAGTATGCAAACATCCTCTATCCGCACAACACGCGCAAGACAAACCCTCGTATGACTCAATTGCGAGAATCCTTAATTATTAAACCCCCACCAATCTCTGAATTAAACATTAATTAACAACTAAGCACTGACAGTGACGTTTCTGAGCGGGAAAAGCAGCCCCACTTTTATTTTGCTTTTAGATATTAATAGATAGATAGATATTTAACGCACGTGGTGCACAAACGATTATGGCAAAGAATCTTTACATTTCTTAAGGTAGATTACTTATAATGAAATCTCAATGGATAATACACTTCCATTTGAAAGTTGCACTACACCTAAACCTTTGAGCAAAAAATAGTTTGTAGTTTGTACGGAGTATAAAGCAATAATCAGCCAAAACAATATTCCCTACTCCATTTACGCTTGTGCCCATTTTTTCTTGCTACGTATTACTCCGTATCAAACAGATGCGTATAACACCCTTCCCAGCGGCCAGCCCTAATTTATTACTCCGTACAAAACAACCGCCCCAACCATTCTCTGGCATCCTTCGAAACAATTCCATTCCATCTAACGATGGCCACTCACACACAGTCACACCCATCTCGTTCGAGTTCACAATATAAACTCCGCCTCCTCCGATCCCATACATAGAAAAAACATTGTAGATCCTCACATGACTCCGATTTCATTCAGATACCATAGATCTAGAACCGGTATGTGCAATTTTTATTCAAGAAATCCGTTTGAATATGATAGATCAACCGCCCAAATTCGATGAACTACTCCCCGGTGGCAAATCAAATTCGGCTCAAGTTTATTGCCAGTTTCTGGTGATAACTCACTCAGATCTAGACACAAGGATCATATTTTGGACGGACTGGTATGTTATTTACAGTTTCAAACTATTCATCTTGACATTTCATTGCATGCATCGGCCATTACAAAAACCATCACCGATTAACCCTAATAAAATTGAAAGGCAAAAAACTCATTTCTCTATTACACTTTTCCCAAACTAAAAGCATTTATAATCACACACATTCTGTACTTGTAGTTAAATAATACACAAAACTCCATGTGTGACTCTTAAAAGATCTGTTTTTATCCATCTTTAAATTATTTTTATTAGATTTTACAAAATCTTAAAAATGAATTCACTGAAAGTATGCGTTTGAAATGTAATTAGAAATATTATTTAAATATAAGAATTTCACTATAAATTACACTGAAATGTTAAATTTTCGGTATTAAAAATTAATTTCCTGAGAACGTGTGTATTTTAAAGGTATTTTAATGAATAGTTTTTTTTTGTTTATGAAAATAAAGTAGTAATGTTGTTTGAATTCAACCTCGCAATATATATACTCCATTTGCTATCAGTTCTTTGACTATTGACCATTAATTACGTGTGAAGCTTAAAAGGCACCACATGCTCCATAATACAACCATCCCCCCTATACACATACTCCGTACAATTAATGTGCTAGAAATTTCTCTAGAACACCCCTATAAATAATACGTACATAAATGGACGTTTAGGTCACCGCTAAGCTCATTTATTCTCCCAACCACGGTACCATTAGTTCTACACCTAATGGTTGTTCTCTAGAGTTCCATATCTTCCGGTCTTCGAAATCGGTTGTACACTTGTACTCTAAAAATTCCAGAAAATACAACAATCCTAGACTCTCTCGTGACCAATCCCCTCAAAATCTTGCACTCAATGAGGTTGACATGTGTGGACGATAAAGAAACTAAGATTAAACTTAGACCCCATATTATGTCTTTAATTAATATCTTAAGACGAAGATATGTGATTACTTTTTTCTTTCCGCATGCAGGTGATGTGATCAAAGCCAAATACAGAGCAACCGAAGTTGTTTTAAAAAAACAAAATGTTGATGATCTTGAAAAAGACAATCATAGGTAATTTTTAACCTTATGTATTTTAGCATCCATATAATAAGAGTAATAAATTACGGTAATTTGTCCTCACCCATTTCAGCAGATTCAACGAATTTAGCAACTTTAATTAGAACTTCATCAATTTCAACCATTTCAACTAATTTTGCTAATTTTAATCAATTACAAGCAAAAGAGCTCTACAAGTTACACATATAGTGTTTTTTAGTCCAATCATGTGTCCCGTCCCTGGATTTTAATTGTCCTAAGAAAATAACCATTCTCTTATTTAAGTAAATAGTTTATGACTTTAATTAGAGCATTTCCATATTTTGAACACCAATTGAAATAATAATGGGAGGTCAACTGTAGATAAAGTTGGGGTAGAGGTGGGACCTTGAGGGAATGGGGAGGATAGTAGATGCCGGCATGGATGACCTCACTGTTACGGGAGCTTGTTCCGGTGCCGAATGTCGGTGCGGAGTCGATGACCAGAACCTCTCTTCCCTGCTTCACCGCTAGCTCACGCGCCACCGCTATGCCCACCACCCCTGCTCCCACCACCACCGCGTCCACCCGCTCTTTCCTCACCCACTCGTATCCTTCTCCGCCGGAAGACGAAGAGATTGATGCCTCCATGGATCTCCTACAGCTTCTACTTCTCTCTTTGACAAAACGGAAGATCCCATCGGCGGTTGAGTTTACACGCTTCATTATTGTACAAGTTGATAGAGCTAGAGATGTTGATTTGAAGATAGTTGATCGAGACCCGCGGGCTTCACACATAGTTTCATTATTATATTATTACTAGTTTTTTACACGCGCGTTGCGCGATTGAGCAAATGCCCAATGAATTTTTGCTAGGAAGTATGTATATTGAGTATTTGACATGTTACCATTTAGGAATACATTGTTTAACATTCCTCCACCGTGTCTAATTTCATACTGCAATAATATAAAAATAGAAAAATATATCTATTACACCTCTAAATATCATTAATTCTGATTTAGTTTAATCTAGAACCCCTCACAAGATTATAGGTAATATATTATATGTGAAGAAGCAAGTAAAGTTAAGAGAAAAAGTAGATTCACTGATATTGAGTAATGAATCAAGAAGATATTGAGCATACTTGAAATATGAGTGGTGTTATTTCTCAATGGGGGCTTGACATGATTTCTAACTCTTCAATCTCACTAAGCATTTTGTAAGTCATCCATTGCCACTTCCAGTTTGCAAGGAAAAACTACTAATCAATGAACTCATATATCTAGAACTCTTCTCTCGAATTGGTAAAGTTGAAAATAATATTCCAATACAAAATAAAATATAATAGTTGTAAATAATATTTGAATACAATAATAATTAAAACTAAAGAAGAAGACATCAAACAAAAAAGTCCAAAGGGGAAACTCTGGATAATCTTTTGGATCTATCCTCTTTTATTTTCCAAATTTGCATTTGGGTGGAGATTTTATGGCCAAAGGGAGAAATGAAGGATGTTCTGCCTATTTAAAAATCCATATATAAGTTTGCAGAACTCATGATGAATGTAGATTTGATAGGGAAGAGATGAATGGTGGAACTTTTATGTGGAATAGGGGGAAACCCATGGTAGGGTGAATTGGAGTTTCCTGTATGCTATATTAGACATGATTGATTTTAAGTGCCTGTGATTTATGAGTATCATTCTCACTCCAAACTATAATATACTGAGTCAAGTAACATAAATATCCATAAACACGAACTATAACATACCAAGTCATTGATCAGTCTAGTAACATATATAGTACTACGTAATAATTAATAAATAATTCTAGAAGGTATTAAAAGGTTTGAAGAGAATAAGCATGGAGAGTTTGAAACTGTTAAAATGTCTCAGCTCACAGCAGAAAGAATGCTTCACTTGATTTGGAATTGTGTCTTGGCGATTGGAGTAGAACAACAGGAGAACAGATAGAGGTATAGAGCATGTATTAACTATTAAGACAGAAAAATGTACAGGGAAGTGAAAAAGATTAAGAGAATAAAGGACAATGAAACACAAGAAAGAAGTTGAGAAAAGGGAAATTATTTTACGTGAAACGCTTGAAGCATCAAGCATCAAGCATCCAGACAAGAAGAGGAGCCGAATATAAATAACTAAATAAGCCAATGTATTCACATAATAACAGGTAGTATTACCTTCATGTCAATTATTCATATAAATGATATACATCTATTAAATTCATAAAAAAAAAACCCAGGTTCAATTCCATTTGAAATCCACCTCATTGGTTTTAGTTTCAAATTCATTCAAAATAATCTGAAGTGTTTTGCATAACACCTCCCTCACCTATACTGGTGATGTGACAAAACAGTATAAGTTTGTCAAACAAATCATAGGAGCCTTGCTAGTTACACATAGCTCTTGCCGTTCCCGGTTCCCCGACTGATTAATTACACGTTACCGGTTACAACCAACCCAAAATAAAATCACTTTCCAGCAACCTCTAAGATAAGAAAAAATAAAGGGATAAGGGTCAGATAAGGCCTCGAATTTGAAAAAAAATGTCAAATAAGGCCATATTTAGGATGCTCTGTCCGGCCGGCGCCATTTGGAGCGGTTCCCGGTGGATTTTTTTGATGAAATTTTTTGAGAATCTTATTCATTAAGTCTAGCTTACTCATATCAAATTTGAATTAAAACTTCAATCGGGAAAACATTCAAATGAATTCTCGAAGATAACTGTGCAGTAAAAAGCACAGTTATCTTCAAGAATTCATTTGAATGCCTTCCCGATTGAATTGTTACTTCAAATTTGATATGAGTAAACAAGACTTAATGAATAAGATTCTCAAAAAAATTCATCAAAAAAATCCACTGGGAACCGCCCCAAATGGCGTCAGCCGGACATACCACCCTAAATATGGCCTTATTTGACATTTTTTTCCAAGTTCGAGACCCTATCTGACCCTTATCCCAAAAATAAAATACAATTAAAACGTAGCAAACATAAAAACAATTTAAATAAAATCCCAAGTTACATAAATACCAGGAGAGCCAATGTCGCCATGTAACTAAGGGGGTGTTTGGATCTGATTCTTAAAATTGCTTTTACTCCTTCAGGGAGCACAAGCAGAAGTTGGAGTGATTGAGTGAAAGTGCAGAAGTGATCAATTCTGGTGCTCTAATTTACTCCTAGAATCGGTTTTTTAGAAGCTGGGGGAGACCAGCTTCTAAAAACTGATTCTGATTCTGCTTTAAAAAAGAAGCAGAATCAGAATCAGTCTCAAACACCCCCTAATAATAAGAGAATAGTCACAGGTCTTTTACTTTTTGTTCCATTATTGTTGTAGTAAGAGAATAGTCACCCCTCCCTATTAGGCTGTGGCATGTCAATTTGTTTTATTTTTGCAATTGTCATAACTTTCTCATTTATTATCTGATTATTCTAATAAGATACATCCGCATTTTTTTATTTTTTATGATCTTTCATATGTTATCAATATTGCATATACTACGTATAATATTTTTTAAAAGTCCGGCTGGAAATAGATATTTAGAAAAAATAGATTTTTTTTTTATTTTTTATATGCAATACACCGGTACCATTGAAATGATCAGGGAAAAAATAATTTGAAATACGACAAAAGAAAAAACATTGCAATACCATATAGCAACCAAAGAAAGAGTGGTGACAGAACAAAATTGTACTGCCTCAATTGACCTAGCACAATTCTTCGTTTGATAATTGATTTGGTGAGAATCGGCACACATACAATCCATTAGGAAAAAAACAAAAAAACAACAGTAATCGAAAACTCATTGAAGGATAACATTCAATGTTTTCTTGGAGAAAAGACTAAAAAGAACAAAAAATCACTTGGTGATAGCATGCAGACGGTTCACTTCAAAAAAAAATTTAATTGATCGAGAACGATGGTGAGATGAGACATGGAGAATAAGTTCACAAAGTACACCTAAATACCTGATGACCTGAACGGCTGAAAACAGGGGGGACATTTTTATGAATATGAATCTAACGCCTAAACCTTCTTCTAGGGGCATGATCTCCTTTTTACCTAATTGATTTCAAACGGGGAGCAGAGATAATGCTAATGTAGATAACAGAAATGGAGAAATGGAGAAGTACTGAATGATGAAGGGTTTTAACTTAACGGAAACCCAGATACTAAGAGCCAAAGACGGTAAGAAAACGATGGTTATATAAGAGTACAATCATGGAAACTTATCGTACAACCACTCAATGCATAATATTACACCAACACTTTTTCTATACCTAAAATGCCCTAACCATCATTGGGGCTTATAAGATTTTAGATTATTATTATATATTCTCGCTTTCTTAAATTCCGATCCAAATTAATCCGGACACTATTTTATGCAACAGAGAAAGTACATGAAAAATTGCACCTAAAATGATAATATAAAACTTAAAAGCATCTTCAATTATATAAAGTGAACAATAGACATGTGACATGAGAGAGATAGACACGAAAAATTAACTTTTCGATATTTCTCTCTCCTTCTTTTCACGGTCTTATGTGTTTTTTTGGTAAATTTTTGTCAACAATGTCAACTAGGATGTCTACATCTAGACATTGTGTTTGACATTATAGAGAAAAACTTATTAAAACATATTTATAAGACCGTTCAAATAAGGAGATAAATATTCTATTTGTTGTTTTTTAATTGGATATCTCTCGTGCCATGTATGCACCCATTCACATTTTTACATTGAATATGCTCTTAATACGTATTTTGATGTTTGCTACACCTTTTTGGATGTATTTAAAATTTGCTACATTTTCTTCATTTGATAAATTTGGATGTATTTAAAATTTTCTTTTAAAGTACTCAATTACTCTTATTTTTTCTACTCTTTATCTTCTTTTTTCATACTTTTCAACCATCTCTCCTATTTTTTCAACACTATTCGTTAGCTTTAAATAATGTGTTCAAGCCTATTGTAGTGAATATTAAAATACGGAGGGAGTAGTTGATATTTGTGCAGAGTACTCTGAAATAAATTTAATCGAATATTTATTATCTTAAATAAAAATGGGAAAAAAATGGGACTAACAAAAAGGGAAAGTTTATCAATTTTTAGAAGAAGCTAGTAGAAGGTAATAAGTATAAAGCTATTTGTACACATAAGTTGTTCACATTTTATGTACACACTCCCTAGTTGTCTATGTATCCACATTCTATTTACACACTCCCTAGTTGTTCACATTTTATGTACACACTTCCTAGTTGTACACATAAGTTGTTCACATTTTATTTACACACTCCCTAGTTGTCTGTGTATCCAAACAACTAAGAGTGTGTACACAAAATGTGTACAACTTATGTGCACAAATACTCGGCTGAATTTTGATAGAGTTATTGTTAATGGGAGAAGACTTCTTTTTAATTATAGAAGAAAGTGTGAACTCATGATTCAGATTACGAGAAAATTATGAGCCATACAATTATCATCTTGAATTCATAATTATGATTTTCCTATGAATATCGAAAACGTCTTCTCGATGTTGAATATCGAAAACGTCTTCTCGATGTTGAATATCAAAAACATCTTCTGGATGTTGAATATCGAAAACGTCTTCTCGATGTTGAATATCGAAAATGTCTTCTCGATGTTGAATATTGAAAACGCCTTCTCGATGATTGAATATCGAAAACGCTTTCTCGATGATTGAATATCGAAAACGTCTTCCCGATGATTGAATATCGAAAACGTCTTCTCGATGATTGAATATCGAAAACTTTTTCTCGATGTTTGAATATCGAAAACTTTTACTCGATGTTGAATATCGAAAAATTCTTTTTCGATATTGAATG